GAGAGGACAGGGACTGGAGGACATGAGGAGGCAGCCTGGTATGGAGGGGTGAAACAGGCCATGTGGTCAGACAGTGTGAGAAAGATGAAAAACCTGGGCTCTGGGAGAGAGCCAGAAAATGAGAGTAAAATGGTGAGAGGTGGACAGTCTGCACTGAGGTCATGTGATTAGAGTTGTGGTACCTTAGCCTAGAAATGGAGAAGACAGTGTACGGTTTGCTAAGCTTTCCTACATAGGTATAGGATTGGTACAAGGAGATGCTGACCAATTGGTCCAAGTCTTCTGATAATAAAACCGGGTGTAGGGGGACTTCAACTAGAATAGAACAAGTCCAGGTAGGGTGAAGAAAAAACTGAATTTCGGATGACTCAAGACCACATCAGAGAGCCAGGGGAGGCTGTGAGCTCTCTGCCCACGGACTTCAGCTGCACATGTGCTGTAAGTGTAGAGTTACGAATAAATACAGCAACTGAATTGTGCCCACGTAACTCTAAGTCCTCTTGCTCCTTGTGGCTTCTAGTCTGTCATAGGCCAGTGACATCAGGCCACCTGGGGGTCGTTAGAAACGCAGACCTTCAGGCCCCACATCAGAGCCCCTGAGCCAGAATCTGCATCCTTCACAGGATCCTCAGGCGAAGGGTCTATTTCCTTCTAGAGAGGACCCTGCACCCACAATGAAATGCAGTGCTTCAGATTCTTAAAATCGTGGAAAGCTTTTATCACAGGGTGGCTGACAGGGAGAAAGCTGCCTGGTGATCACATCTCTGTTTTTCAAATGTCATTAGTTAACTGCCCTATTGAACATTTTCAGAGACGTCCATTGAAAGTTGTTTTTATAAACATCAGAAAATCAGACTTATAAAGTTCTTGCAGAGGCAAATAAACTAATTTTAAAAAACTGGCCTCCTCTTACAGCTAATTCTTGCATAAATATTATGACAAGTGTAAAATCAGTAATGATGTGTGCAATAAAATAGGAGATCTGGAATCCAGCTACTGATTCAACTGCGTCCTGAGATGTATCTCCTTTGCCAAGGAGAAGCCAAGGACTGGATCCAGGTCTGGACTCCTGGCCAGCGAGCTGCATGTCGCTCACCTTCCCTGCCTTGGTTTCCTCAACAGTGAAGTAAAGAGCAGCTGAGACGGCTTGTAGGGCTCCTACATCTTCAGCATTCGAAGATCCTACTCCAGGACTCTCAGCAAGAGCACAGGAAACCTAATTTCTCCAAATTTACTGCATTTAACCCTCCCATTGTTTGTATGAACCACTAATGAAAGGGCCAAGCTGAAGAAACCAGTGTCTAAATACCAAACAAGCAATGAAATACCTCCACTGGGAGCAGGCAGGTGTGGGCATTAGAGGCCAGCGGGGTGTACAGCTCAGACTCCCTGTAAACAGCTGGCAGCTCAGCCGAGCTGCTCACGGGCGAGAGAGGTGCAGGCTGCTCACCCAGGAGCACTTGCGTGTGAAGTGCGGCAACCCTAAAAATAGCCTGAGCTGGGGGGGGGTTAGTACCTACTGTCAATGGCTTTCAACTCAACTGTCAGGATGACAGGAAGGGGAGTAACTATAGTAACAGAAAAAGGAACACATAAAGAAAGTCTTCTGAAGTTGACAGGAAAAGTTTAGATTTAATAAAACACTTATTTTTAATTCCTGTCTCTAAGTCTTTGAATTCAAATAGTTCAATTCTGTGAGGGTAATAAAATTAGAATTTTGATAAAACAAATACTCTCTCAGTTTGGGGTTCCTGATTCCTAAGGCAATATTGCCAACCTGTCAATTTTATTGCCTCTGTAATTAAAGGGTGATCTGAACAAATGCCTTTATATAATTTTTAACGGAGAGGCTCTCCTCTGTATTTGTTCTATCAGCTATAAGAATGGCCTTGAGCCGTGCCTGACATTTGAGGATATTACTACACGTCCGATGAAAATGTAGCGCGCTAGGGACTCGGTGAAAACCACGAGAAGCTTCTGAGGCGGCGCTGCGGCCCACACGGGCCCGCGCCCGCCAGGCTCACTCGGGGGCTCACTCGGGGGCTCACTCGGGGGCTCACCCGGGGGCTCACAAGCGAGCTCACTCGCAACCGCAGAATCGGCACATCCAAGCCCATGTCCCCGCGTTCCGTAAGGGACATTCCCTGCCCCAGGCAAGCCCGTCCCAGCTCTGGTCGAGGGCGGGGGTCTCTNCAACCGCAGAATCGGCACATCCAAGCCCATGTCCCCGCGTTCCGTAAGGGACATTCCCTGCCCCAGGCAAGCCCGTCCCAGCTCTGGTCGCGGGCGGGGGGTCTCGCAGGAGTCAAGGGGAGTGAGGCCAGGACTGGTGCTGGGGCCCACTCTGGGCCGTGGCTGGTGCTGGCCTTTAAAAATATATTACCTTGGCAACAAGCTGGCAAGACAGACAACTTCACCTCCACTTTATAGGAGAGGCCTCGTCACAGTCTGGCTGAGCCGAGGGAGCTCGGTTAGAACCCGGGGTCTGTCCGATGCCGGGGAGGCCGTGCCCCTCAGATGCCACCCCAGCCTCTCTGGCAGCGCACCCTCGCCTGCAGGGTACACAGTGGCCTCCCCCGCCCGGTGTTAGTTACATGCGCTCAAGCCACCTAGATTTCCTGTGACTGTCCTGCGTTTTCTGAGCATAGACGATTAGGTCCCTTGGAAAGTCCCTTTATAGTCTCCCTTCACCCAGGAAACCACGGTTACCAGTTATTTTCACATCAAATATACACTAACCTGCCACCTGCCCTTTTCACTTATTAATATATCATGAGCATCTCCTTATGCTAATAAAAAGTATTTTATTCTTTATAAAGATTGCATATCTAAATTATACTCATTCACTTTCTAATGGGTATTTCAGTTGTTCTAATTTTATAATACTTTAATAATCAGGAAAAATAGAAAACATCATAGAAAAAAGCACTAGGGTACTAAAGTAATTTTTTAAAGTAAGTACAATAAGTCAAAAAGTAAATCAAGAGCTTTGCATTCATTAATCGTGTTTTCCTAAAATTTCTGCTTAGAATCAAAACTGCCTACAACACAGGAATGCCCTCTAATAAACCAATGTTGTAATATGCAGATGAAAGGAAATGTATCTGTGGGCCCTGGGGCTGGGAATTCTTGGTACCATCCCTTAGCCCCACTTTAAAAGTGTGGTCAGGCTATTTACATGGTGAAAAGAAGTCACGGCTGTGTTGCAGGGATTCTGGCTGAAAGTGAAACACAAAAACAAATCTAGTTTTGCGGTTAGTTGAAAACTCACAGCTGGTATGGGCTTTCCTTTAATTAAAGTGTCTCCCCCTCCATGGAAAATTCTGGGGCTTAAGTAAAGCTGCTTGAAAAGCTCCTACGTGGACCAAACAACTTGGATTTTCATAACGGGATTTTCTAGAGTTTTAGTAAATCTCTCAGTCACTTCTTTGTTCTCGTACTGTGATCAAAAGCAAAATCAAGTAATGAGAAGGTCACCCATGTAGCCAGAGGAGCAAAACAAACAAAATAAAACAGAAAAAGCACATAAACCCCACAGCAAAACAAAGCTACAACAAAACCACGTGTACACACACATATGCACGCACCCTAAAAGTAAGATTAATTAGCTGAAATTAGCTATATAATCCATATAATACACATTAGTTAAATAATACATTTATATAAAAACTATCTCTTCATTATTTCTTTTTGATACACTTAAAGTGTGATGCTATGAGATTCAAGTAAACTTAGTTCTACATAAAAATGGTCATAAAGCAGCATATGAATAAACATGGTTTTGAAGGGGTGGAGTCGGATGTGACAGGGTTTCTCCTGCTGTTTCCTCCTCTCGAACCCTGCTCTGAAGGATCAAGAGAGTAGAAATAAGGCTGAGGATACAATAGGCCCAGCCAGCTGCCTAATCAGACCCTGGTAGTCAGCTGGCCACCTAGGTCAGCATCTTTCCAAATCCATAAGAGAACGTTTACTACTTGCCAGAGGCAAGGATGGTTTAGACAACACCCAAATGACAATCCTTCTGGCCACAGGCAATGCTCTCATGACCTAACAGGCTGAGAGAGTGATGGAGTCCCAGGTAGAGAGACCAAGCTCAGTGATCCCACTCTCAGGGCCTGACAGTGGGAAGGGGCCTGGTGGATTCTGTTTTCCCCTCAGAGGTGGGATGCACCCTGATTCCTTACAATACTTGGTGTTGCCATTTCTCCACACTCTCAAAGCAGCATACAGGCCATGTCCATTAGAGTATATGTCTTATTTCCCTACTTTGTTCCCAAACTACAGATGCTACACACTGCAGAGTGGAGAAAGAAAGAATGTCCATAAGTGAGCTGAAAAATAGTAACACTATGCATTATAAAAGCTTTTGCAAGCAGCACAGAATTACTGAAGTTAATGTGATCCTGCAGAGACCATTTCCAATACAAAATACAGAACTCTACAAACGTAGAGAGGGGAGCGGCCGAAGACTTTCTAATGTGACATATGTATGACTCACATGTACACTAGGACGTTTCTTTGAATCTGTGCACAGTCAGAAGTAAGAAAAGGTCAAGTGGTCATGAATGCATTTCAGGCAGCTGGTTAAAACATATATTTTAAAAAATAAGTAAAGCATTGTCTTGAAAAAACCACTAAAATATTAGTGCTTATAGTCAGGTTGGCACAATAAAACTATTTGATCATGAAAGCTCAACATTTCATTTTGGTTTGAAGTAGGTACTTACATGGGCTGTGTAGCAGTGAAGAGTTGAAAACTATGGTTGCACTGCTTGATTCTGAATTTCTACTCCACTTACTAGTGATATAAGCTTGGGAAATTTAATTAATCTCTCTGTGCTTCAGTTTCCTCATCTGTACAGTGGGGACTGTAACAGTGTATCTACGCAGGGCTGCTGTGAGGATTACCTGAGATGATTCATGTGAAGAGCTTTAAAAAGGGCCTAGTGACTCTTGTTAAGTAAGACTCATTACTACCAGGGCCAAAGTAGTTCACTCACCAAGATGAGTGTCCATCACCTTCGCACAGTATTTGCACATGGCATCCAGGTCATTCAACTGTCCTTGAAGGAAGGAAATTTGGGCTTCTAATTCTTCTTCCTAAAATGAGGGGGGTAAAGATATGGAAATTTAAAAAAATCAAATAAAATCACCAAAGTTCTCCAATGATCGGGACTATTTTAGAGAGGCACGATGTCTTTTCATTCCTAGATAAAACAAAAGAAAACAGCAAATAAACAAGAGCAAACCCACCACTGCCACTACCAATAAGACAGAGAAAGGGTAAAATGGAGCCTGAAAAAAAATCTGGACTTTTCCTATTTGGATGCTAGCTTTGGGCCATGTGTAAATGTTTACCCATACAACCTTGTATAAAAAAGTACATAAAATATCTTCCGTAACGACAGTCCCACAAACAGGGAGAGTAAATTGGATTTCAGTGAACCACACTCCCTAGGCAGCTGGTACAAAAACATTACATTTTCTCTCACACACATTTGGGAAACCAAAGATTTCCATTTGTATAAGACAAATCTCATCACTTTCCAGACAATGATAATCTCTTAAAAAGTGAGATTTCCCCAAAGCACTTGGAGAAGTTTTGTCCCTGCAGCCCATAAATAGCTCCTCTTACATTTCCTCTCTTGATATGACACTGGAGTATTTTATTTATTTGATTGTTTCTGGGAAAAACACTCTGGGTTGAGTAATTATCTAAATGGTAAAAGACAATCTAACTGTTACAAAAGGAGAAAGTCTTGCTTTTTTTAAAAAAAGGAAAAAATGATACACGTAAAAAATTTTCCCCGGAAATTTAGAAGATTAAGGGAGTTTTTCTCAGAGAAAGAGAATTATCCTCATTAGGTAGGATATTTTAAACCAAGTGAGCCAGACTACAAAGAAAAGATGTTGCCAGGGTTGGAACAGGCTAGCAAATTGATTTGTCAGTTTTAGATGCTCGTCTTCTCACATAAAAATCCTGTGTCATTAAAAAGAAAGGAAAAGAAATCTACCAAGCTATGCTTTTCCGTAGAGACTGAGTATAATTTGACCTACAGATGGAAATTAATAGTTGAAGAGGTTACTTGTAGGTGTTCCATTTTAAAAACGCACATATGCAGCACTGAAAAGTATTGTTTCTAACTGCTGCCCAGAGAATACGCCCTCAGGAGTATGCATTTAAATGCTTGACACAGAAAATAGAGCAGTAGCTCTAAAAACAAATTATTGAGAAGTGCCCACTGTAGGCTAACACAAGCACTAACCATGTTCTTTACATATCCCACCAAGTGCAGCAGCCTCTCATCTGATACTCAAATAAAAACAAATGCAACCAGAAGCATCTCAGCCAAGGGATGGTGACAGGGCTGTGGGGAGGTGGTGCCACCCTCCGGACCCTTCCGCTGGGCTTTAAGGTGGAAAAGGGTGGGGTGTTTCAGGGTATTGTTCTTTTTTCCCTTTGTTTCTGCTGAGTTTCCCTGCTCTATTAGGACACTGTAGGAGAAAAAACACTGCACCTTGGTTAATGATAGCTGCGGTTAGTTTCCAAAGATGGCAACCCTCAGTGTGCATCAAGTCCTTCCCTCAGTGTGCATCCTGTTCCCTCCCCTCAAACCTAGGCTGTCTTCTAACTTGCCTGGACCCGGAGAACGTAGCAGAAGTCAAAGTGGGCCAGTCTGGGGCTAGTGCCAGAGGCCTGCTGACTTCTGCTTTCACTAGAGGAAGAGAGCTCCCATGTTGTGAAGTTCAGGCTAGAATACTGAAAGACAAGCAGAAAATATGAAGAGAAAGGCCACAGGAGAAGCTCTGAGTTCTAGACATGGGCATGAAGTCTTACTGGACCTATCAGCTCAACCCATCTGAAGCGAGCCAGTGACTGGCCCAGTCAACATCCTGGGGAACAGAAGAGCCCACCCATGCCTTGTCCAATGCCTGACCCATCCACCTACGAGAAATACTGGCGCTGCTGTTCGGAGGACTGGGCTTCTGGAGTGGTTTGTTACGCAGCAACAGGTAACTGAAACAGTGGAGGAATGGAAAGAACACCAGATTGGTGTATGGCTGAGGAAATTTGAGTTCTATTTCTGATCCAGCCACTTACAAGTCATGTAACTAAGTAATCCTGGGCCTAAATTCAGCACTCTCTGGAGAAGGCACAAGTCAGACACTTTGCTCTCACGGAGCTTACCAGCATGTAATTGGAATAAGAAAGATACATAAATTATGAGTATGAGGCAGCGTACATGAAAATCTTAAAATAAATAAAAGTAACTGCCTAGGGAATCCTGGTCCCTGCCTCCTGTCCCTTCTACTGAGTAAGTCACCTTTTCAATGTGTTACAGGCACAAACCCAACCAGATGAGTCTAGAACCTCACTGAGGTGAGAAGGGGTTCGGCGGTGGCCTGAGTTTTCCTTGCATGTGACTGCTGAGTGGGACGCTGACAGGCCAGAGTGGACAAAGGGCGCTGGGAATGCACTGCCTCCTGGCTCAGAAACTCCCTTTCTCTTGTATTAGTTTAACTTGGCCTGAGCAACGACTTCTTTAAAAATGCAAAAGCCCTTGGGAACTTGAATTCCAGCAGGCATTCCTACCTAATGGATTTATTTTATTCAGTTGGTTTTCATTCTAAAAGCTGGGTGGGAAGAAGGCTTCAGAGAAGACATCTTAGAGGAGACAGACCAGGCTGTGGGGGTGCGGCGTTGGACAGCTGCAGGGAGTAAGTCGCTCAAAGGGGGGGCGTCTCTTCCTCAGAACACTTTCCTGTATGAGCAGGAACATGACTGTAATAAAAGTGAGATGGGACGGGTGCCCTCTGAACTGTGCAGGGCACAAGTTGCCCAAGCGTATGGGGAAGCCCAGAGCACGGCAGCCCACAGCACGCGCTGCGTGGCCGTGTGGAAGCATAAAGACAGTTTCCAGGCTGCACATGCTGCTTGGGGCTCTGGTGGCAAGTGAAGAGCTGGCCTGAATCCCAAGTCAGTCTCAATACAAGTGGAATCTGTACTACAGGAAATGGCAACTTTCATGCATTGAAACCTTTTTTCAAAGGAAAGCTCACACAAAGACCCAATATATGAGATAAGAAGAGCATTCCGGTGAAAGAGGTTGAGGGGCCCAAGACCTCCTTCCCCTTGGAAGTTAGAAATTCACTGTATTATCCTTCTAGAGTTTGCTTCATCTTAAAACATTCCTAAACCCTTCAACTATCACTCAGACTTTATAAATAGAAATGGAATCACTTGGAGGCAAAAAGGTGGCTTGTCATTTTTTCTTCACTATATAATTACAGACAAAAGAAAGAGCCAAGAATCAGGCTTCTAAAATCGTGGCACTGACTTCACACTGCTGCTAGCTTCTGATGCTCCACACTCCTCCCAACTACAAGATTTAAACACTGACAGCTTCAGTCACTTGTTTTCATTAAACCGCGCCTCTGTAATCAAAAACAAATGCTTGGCTAATTGCCTTGAGGTTTTATGAAAACAACCAGTTAGTGTAGTTCTTAGGTATAAATAAGACACTGAAGAAAAATGTTTATTATACAGCAGGTCCTCGCATAACATCTTTTCATTCAATGCTGTTTTGTTATGGAGTTGATGAGATGCCACAGGAACTTGACTCTGGTTTTTATCAATTAGCCTGCAGCACAGCTGGTTCTGTTATAGGTCGCTTCACTTAAAGTCACAGGACCTCTCAGTGACGCTAAGTGAGGACTTGCTGATCTGCCTCTGCATGCATGCTCTGCTGCCATTACCGGAGGGACTACGGCGGAGCAGGATGCGACTCCGGAGTAATGACACCTAGGTTCAAGCGCCCTTCCTGCCCCCCACCTAGCAGGATTGGGGGAAGAACAAAATGAGAGCTGCATGGAGAGTGTCCGGCACAGAGCAGGTACTCAATACACGCAATTATTCTTTCTTTAAAAAATTTTTTACAATCAGTTCAAAAACGCGAAATAGATTTTAAGTACAGGGTTTTATGATTCACTGTTGTAAAACACTGTTTTTTGGTTTTAAAACCCTTATGTGGCTTAGCCCAGAAAGATTAATTAGGGCTTAAGAGCCCATCGCTGTCTTCAGTTCTGGAGAGCAAACTGGTGCAGAGCGAGACACTCATGGTGGATTATGAAGTAGGGCCGCGCAGATTACTGTGCCACTCATCACCAATTGTGCGTGGGGCCCTGCAGGGGGGATGAGGGCCACTCCACCAGGAGAGAAAAACACGCAGCACCCCCGCCCCCCCCGTAGCGATTACAATATTCCAGCCGCTGAGCTTTGCACGTACTGACTCACTAATCCTCGCCAGGTTTCTAAGGCACGCTCTCGAATTATCTCCTACATGAAGCATGGTCTCTGTAAACACGTTCTTGGACGTGTACGCACGGTTTAGACCACTAAATGAGAAGCCAAGGCCCTTGGCCCACTACTCCCAATACTTCCCTGTGTGCCAGTCTTTCTCCCGCTTAGTTACTATGGTCCTGCCAACGAATAATCTCATATTTCCTTTCAGAGAGATTCAGCAATTACCACGTTAAGTCCTAATCCCAAATGACTTACTAAATTGTTGTCTTTCAAAAAACTTAGGCATGATTGGTATTGTTCTGTTTTATTGTCTGCTGAATGATTTTTCGTTTTGACTGTATCTGAAAAAATGATTTTTTAGAATTTGCTTTTTACAAAGTGGTGTTTCCACTACCATTCACCCAAAAGTAGTTGATGTGTCATTGCACTTCTACTCAAATGCTATACACCTCAGTTGTTTAATTATTTTATAATATATGGATTTTATATATCAATTTTGTTAAATGATTCCAGGTTTTTCTGCTATTCTATATAACAGGACAAGCTTTCATAGTCTATCATTTATTCACTTACTCATGAATTTACTCAATAAATGTATTTGTTTGTGTTAGGCCTTGTGGAAAATACAATCATGGATGAGACATGAATTCTGACCTCTGCAGTTTAGAAGGGCCAGACCTGTACCTAATGCCAAGAGATGAGTAAGGTACGTTCTGCAGATCGGAAAGAGGGGCCCGCACAATTCTGGGAAGGGCAGATGACTTCCAATTCAGAGAGGTGGAAATGAAAGAGGCAG